TGGTTGTTATTCCAAGACTGCACACCTTATTTGGAATACTGGGTATTCCCCAAGACTATATATCCATTCTGGAATTTGGGTGAATATTTCCTAGAGAGAGAGCTTTCTTTGAGGACTATTTGACTGCCTTTTTGAATGAACTTGTGCCTTTTCTAAAGCCCATTGGGACAGTTTAGATATTCTTCAGTCCCCAACTGGTCAGAAAACTATCTGTGCTTACAGAATTCAAAGTCAACCTCTGGCCTCTCAAATACTAGTGCAGCCAGCATCCTAGGGACACTTCCCCTGCCCCTCACCCTTTCTTCCTCCATGCCACTCTTTGACACCTCAACCCATCCCCCAACTGCCTCTACTCATTCATTCAAGTCTCCCCTCATTCAAAAAAAAAATCAATTCCCCGCTCCACTGTGCTGATAATTTATGTTTTGACTTAAGATGTTCCGTATGGGAAATTCTTGATGCTTCTTAGCATGGTTCCATGTTTAAAATACTACACAAGTGGGTTTAAAATACTACACAAGTGGGTGTACTATGAACAACAGTGTACTATGATCAGGAAGACTTGAACTGAAGTCCCACATCTGCAATTTATTAGCTGTGTGTGTGTGTGTGTGTGTGTGTGAGAGAGAGAGAGAGAGACAGAGAGACAGAGACAGTGAGAGACAGAGACAGTGAGAGACAGAGAGAAATAGATACTGGGGATTGAACCTAGAGATACTCTACCAGAGAGCTATATCCCAGATTTTTTTATTTTTTATTTTCAGATAGGGTCTTGGTAAGCTTCCCAGGCTATTCTCAAACTTGTGATCCTTCTGTCTCAGCTTCCTGAGTCACTGAGATTACAGGCATGCACCACTACACCTGTCTGCAATTTATTAGCTCTGCCACCTTGGGCAAGGTAGCCTCTCAGACCCTGTTTCTTCATAAGTGAAATGATGGCACAGCCAGCACAGTGTCTGCCTACAACTGATGCTCCATTAATTGTAGCAATTATGGTCAGTGTGTCTCAAATTAAGCTTGTTTTTTTTTTCTTTTTCTTATTTATTTGGTATTGGGGATTGAATCAAAGGGTACTTTACTACTAAGCTATACCCCCAGTCATTTTTTTTTTAATTTTGAGACAAGGTCTTGCTAAGTTTCTTAGGATCTCAGTAAGTTGCTGAGGCTGGCCCCAAACTTACAATCCTCCTGCCTCAGCCTCCCCAAGTCCCTGGGATTGCAGGCCTGCACCACTTCACCCAGCTTCAGCTTTTTCTGTTTTTTGGTACCAAGGATTGAACCCAGAGGTACTTAGCCACTGGGACACATCCCTAGCTTCTTTTTAATATTTTATTTAGCGACAGGATTCTTGCTCAGTTGAGTGCCTCACTACGTTGCTGAGGCTGGTTTTGAACTCGAGATCCTCCTGCCTCAGCCTCTGAAGCTGCTGGGATTACAGGCGTGTACCATCAAGCCCAGCTTCAGCTTGTTTTTTAATTGAAGTATAATACGTGAACAATTCAAACACAGCTCTGATAGTAATCTTAACCCTTTTTCCCATCCCTCTTCAAACTGCCTGGATTTCTCTGCCTCTGTTTTCACCTAAGGGACTCACCCATCAAAAGAGCTGTTTTACTTCTGCCCTGTACCTTGTTTTCCCGGCAGTGTCCTCCCAATCCTGGCCAACCCAGCTTATTTCTCTCCCCTTTTTACCTCATCCTCCCTTGGAATCTTGGGATGGGTAACAATAGTTTAGGAAAAATTAACAAGGCAATGAAAGATCAACCCAGACTCTTCCTGGACCAAGAAAGCTCTGGGTGGCACAAAGAGCAGATTAATATGTCAGGGAATTCCAATATAAATTAAGCTATTGATTCAAGTATTTTTTTCTCAGATAACTTTTCTGATGACCTATAAATATAGTCCCTTTGTTCAGTCTACTGCATACAGCTTAGTGCAAACACCAGGTTCAGGGAGCCTGTGTCATAAAGTTAACAATATACTTTGATGAGGATCATCTCCCACCTAAAGTAGGAAGAAGTGGGCTAAGGGAGTGGGTTTGCTTGGATAGTTTTATTGGCTAGCCCTTTGAAAATAATAATGGGCATTGTATACATGTTACCACTACTGAAATCCACCAGTGGAGCCCCATGCCATAGCCAAAGATGTTGGCTATTTGGTGGCATAACTGTACTAGAAACCCAGATGCAATCAAGGCTTTCAGACTGGGTTTGGCTGGAGCTTTGGCTAGGGTGTTGGTGCCAGGTACCTGGTTAAGAGAAATATCCTGAAGCAAATAATAATTACCTTCTTTGCTGATAAGAGGGCCCAGTACTTTTCCAGTAGCGTGATTGCATTAGGATATTTCTTTGGACCACAGCCTGTGGAACACTGATTTATGGGTACTGGCCTTAACTTTATCCAAACTATTGTATATTTGGTGGAACCCAGTGTTCTCCTTGTGGTCCCCTGTTTGTATAAATAACGTGCTGTTGCATCACCTATCCCTTTTCCTGCCTAGGTTGCCCTTGTAGATGTAATTCTGCTTCTGTCCACCAGGTGGCCTCACTTAGGTAGGAGCCAAAGGAGCTAGAAACACCTCAAGTCTCCCATGCCTTTTTTTTTTTTAAAGTTTGAAGCTGAAAAAGAATGAAAATAAGTTTTGATGGAAACATATATAACTCTTATTAGGCAACAATCATATCATTTTCCTTGTGGCCCAGAGTCCTCTTTCCATGAAATACCTTCTACTGCTATATGCATGGCTGGACCCATCACATGGCAGGTGTTTTCCTGGGTGGTTTATATAGTAGTTTTCTTATCCTTTGCTCTTCATAGGAAAGTAACAAATTTTCTTATGTTTTTATTGTGCATTATAGTTATACATAATATTGAGGTTCATTCTGATATATGGTGGAGGAAAGTAAAAAAATTGTTTCTTTTTAGTTATACATAACATTAGGATTCATTTTGACATAATTATACAAGCATGGAATATAATTTGCTCCAATTCAGTCCCTAGTACTTCCCTTTTCCCTCCCTTATACCCTCCCTCTGTTCCCTTCCTTATGCACTCACCCTGTTCCCTTTACTTAATTTTTAAAATTAGTGCCTTGCAGATAAACATAATGGTGAGATTTACTTTTTAAAAATAGGGACATGAGATCCCGGGTTATGTTGAATGTATTTTATTTACAGAGTAAGGTGGGGAGACTGAAGAGAAAAGGGGTAGTATCTGTGGTCATTCCTGTGCCCACTCTCATACCCTATCTCTTCTCCACCTCCTCTATTGCCAACCTAGCTGCTCCCCCATACATGTTCATCCACTCTTGTACACCCTCTCCTCCATACACATGCATAAACAGATAAATGCAGACCTCTGTGTGCATTCCTTGCATGTCACCAATCTGTGAACCTGTCAGTACACAGGTAGATACTCCCACACCTGTAAATTCTAAGGAAGAAATGGACGGATGGGTTTTGGAGTTTGGAGCAGGCTGGTATCCAAGTCAGGGGACAGCTGCATTAGTAAGAGTGAGTGTGCAGGTGACACAGTATATGTGCTGGGGGGAGACTGAAAGAGCAGTCAGAAGGAGAAAGTAAGGCTTCTGATGGTGAGGGTGGGCATGCGTGGAGTGTGACAATGAGAGCATTGCAAAACCATCAGGGTACTCTGGCTGACACCTTGGAGAAGTGCTTTTAAAAGCAGCACCGCCCTCTACTGAGTGCTTTCTGCCTCCTGTTAGGCTGTTGTTTCTCATTTCTTTGCAAAACAGCTCCAGTTTGGTTTTTACCAATCTCCAGAGTCCTCTTTGGAGATGCCAGTTGGCACAAGAAAGTGCTGAACTGTTTACAGTCCCAGTCTAAGGTTCAGGAAGGGGATGTGGTTTTACTGGGCCACAAAGCCCGGTACAGGACTCATTTGCATGGCCCCTGACGCCATGTGACGCAGCCAGCTCCTCCTATATAAAGAAGCAGGAGCCGAAATATCTCTGAGTCTGGGTTGGACTGGAGGCAGTGGAGTTTGTGACACACTAGGTGACACCCCTCGAGGCACTTCCCTTCAACTCCAGCTGGAGCGCCTGTCTGGCTTTGGGTCCGCTCCGCTGCCTTCACCCCCCTCCTAGCTCCAGGGCCAGACTCCAGCGCGGAGCCCAGCCCGGTACAGCTTGCCAGCAGCCAGCGGCTGCCCAGCCCGCCCAGGCAGGCCCGAAGCACTGCCCGAGCTCCCCGGCAATCCGAGCCATGAACACCGAAATGTATCAGACCCCCATGGAGGTGGCGGTCTATCAACTGCACAATTTCTCCATCTCCTTCTTCTCTTCCCTGCTTGGAGGGGATGTGGTTTCCGTTAAGCTGGATAACAGGTAACGACTGGCCCCAGCTCCAGCCTGGCGCTGGCGGGGGCTGGGCTGGGAGCTGGATCTCTGAGCGAGCCCTGCGCTGCCGGCCCCAGTTCCCTGTGGTGCAGCATCCTGGGAAGGGGCGGGGGTAGGGGACGCAGGAAGGGGGGTCACCACCGCGCTGGGATCCGCCGTCTGAGCGTCCCTGCGGCTGCTGCGCCCTGAGAACCAGCTGCTGCAGCCGCAGAGGCAGCCAGAAGCAGAGGGATCCCCAGCGGGCAGGGGTGCACCACCGGGGAGAAAGCCGGAAGCTTCTGAGCAGAGAAGAAATTCTTAGCTAGGTTCTCAGACTGGTAGGTTTGCCTGGGACCTTTTGGGCCTGCGGCGGGGGCCTTCCTAGACCTGGCGCCCTCATTGTTTCTGTATCCCTGGGCCACGCTGGCCCATGAGCCCCAGGACCCGGGCTGCTCAGGGCGGCAGCGCTGAGCTAGCCTGGGTGGGGAGGTGCAGCTTTCTGCAGGGGCCAGAGAAGGACCCGCTGCCAAACTGCCTGGAACTCCAGGCCAGGGAGGCAGGGGAGAGGAAGACCCAGGGCAGATGGAAGACTTTGGTCACAACTGCCAGGTACTCAGAGTGGAACCCAGAGGGTAACGGGTCGCTTTGCTTTTGTCTTGACAGTGCCTCCGGAGCCAGTGTGGTGGCCATAGACAACAAGATTGAGCAGGCAATGGTGAGTGGCATCACTGCGTCATTCCCATCCCCAGACTTTGCTGCTTATGTAACTCTGGGCAGAACTGAGGGGGTGGGCACAAAAGCTGTTAGCCAAAGGCCTGAGAAAGCCAAAGCCAGATTCCTATCCTCCCTGAAGACATTTGGTGAAGTCTGGTTAGAGTGACAGCAGTCTACCCTTGCTGGGCTCCCTTTCTCCCCACACCCCCCATCCCAGGGCTTTGCTGCAGCTTCTGGCTCCCTCCTGGGCTGCTGCAGGGCAGGGAGCTGAGACTCTTGTATTTGTATCCTGCAGTTGGCAGGGGCCAGAGCTCATTGGATGCAACTGCACTGCAGTGCCTCTGCAGAGACTGGGCTGGGGTCAGAAGTTGGGAGGAATAGAAAGCCAAGCACCCCACACCATCTCCCTCTGCTTACCAGGTAGAGGTCAGACTTCACTGAGCAAGCAAAATAGCTATAGGGGCTCGGGGCTTCTCACAATTAGAAGCCCCTTAATTGTGCTCTGAAGCCTAAATGACACACTTCCCCACCCCTAGTTTAATCAGTCATCAAATTCAGAGAGGATGGAGCAATCTCTACACCCCCCACCAGCAAATGCCTGTCCAACCAGGCTGCAGGCCAGCTGCGACTCTAGTGTGCTGGGCCCTGTGAAGGGGAAGAGACTCCCAAATAGGCATTTTTATTTCTTTGGTGAAGATTTGTAAAGGAGACCAACAAGATGGGGTGTGCTACAGGTCCCCGTGGACCCCTGATTTAGACCAGCAGCTGGGCAAACCAGCAACCAGTAGAATTCTCATTCCAAAAGTCCCTACAACAGCCAGACTTGAAAATCTTTAGGAACTTGCAGGAAGGTGGACCTTTCTTGTTCAAAACCTGGCTCCCAACTCTGGCAAGGCCCAAATTCTACAGTACTCCTGTGTGAAGGTTTAAGTGCTTCAGAGAGGAGCTATGAGGAATTGGGCTTCAGGAGCGGCATGCTGAGGGAAGGCTTCAAGGCAGTAACATGAAAGCTAGGGCAGGCAGGCAGCCCCATGGCAGGGTGAAGGTGCTTCAGAGGGGCCTCAATAGCTTAAGAATCTCTTTGTGTGGGTTCCTCCTTGGCAGGATCTGGTGAAGAATCACCTGATGTATGCTGTGAGAGAGGAGGTGGAGATACTGAAGGAGCAGATCCGAGAGCTGGTGGAGAAGAACTCCCAGCTGGAGCGTGAGAACACCCTCCTGAAGACCCTGGCGAGCCCCGAACAGCTGGAGAAGTTCCAGTCTCGGCTGAGTCCTGAAGAGCCAGCTGCCCAATCCCCACAAGCACCTGAAGCCCCCGGTGGTTCTGCGGTGTAAGTGGCTCTGTCCTTAGGGTGGGCAGAGCCACGAAACCTGTTCTACCTAGTTCTTTCTGGTTTGTTTTTGGCTCCCCAAGCATCATCTCACGTGGAGAACTTTACACCTAGCATAGCTGGTGCCAAGAGATGTCCCAAGGACATGGCCACCTGGGTCCACTCCAGTGACAGACCCCTGACAAAGAGCAGGTCTCTGGAGGCTGAGTTGCATTGGGGCTTCAAAACCCCAAGCCAGTGAGCCTCTAATGCCACTGCGCCCTGGGGGCTCCCAGGGCCTGGGCAACTTAGCTGCAACTGGCAAAGGAGAAAGGTAGTTTGACATGTGATGCCAGTTTGCTCCAGAATGTATAAAGGGGTCTGTTTTTCATTTCCATGGACATCTTCAACAGCTTCACCTGATGACTGTTCTATGAAGAAGCCACTTGTGTTTTAAGCAGAGGCAACCTCTCCCTTCTCCCCTGCCTCGCCAAGGCAGGGGGCACAGATGGGAGAGATTGAGCCAAGTCAGCCTTCTGTCGGTTAATATGGTCTAATGCATGGCTTTGTGCACAGCCCTGTGTGGGATTACAGCTTTGGGATGAGCGCTTACAAAGTTCTGTTTGGTTAGTATTGGCATAGTTTTTCTATATAGCCATAAATGCGTATATATACCTATAGGGCTAGATCTATATATTAGTGTAGCGATGTATCCATATATACATACACCTACATGTTGAAGGGCCTGACCAGCTTTGGGAGTATTGACTGGTCCCTTATCTCTTAAAGCTAATTCTTTGACTGTGCTCATTTACCACGTTGATCCAGTTTGTCCTTTAGATTAAGTAAAACTCAAGAGTAAAGGCAGGGAGAGGAGGGCCAGCCCTCAGAATGCGGCCACAGATGCCTTGCTGCTGTACCCTTTCTTTCCCCAACTCTCCACTGAAGACATGTGAAATCCTTTTTCGAATGCCAAACCCACCATTCACTGGTGCTGACTACATAGAATGGGGTTGAGAGAAGATCAGCTTGGACTTCACATTGTCATTTGAGAACTTTTTTTTTAATTTTGGTGGAACACTTTCAGTTGAACAGATAGATGGCATCCTGATGTGGATGAGGGGTGGATGAGGGAATGACTTTGATCCCATTGGGGCCTGAGGGATGTGCCCAGGAAATTTGTTTCCAAGAGGGTTCTGTGACAGTGAACTTTCCACTTTCTGACACCTTATCCTGATGTATGTCTCCAGGATTTGGATTTTGATTTTTCAAATGTAGCTTGAAGTTTCAATAAACTTTGCTCTTTTTTTCTAAAAATAAACTTGGTGTCTGAGTATAAAGAGACCAGGCAATGGAGGCCCTCATCCAGTGGGGGTGGGGGAGGCTGTTTTTCTGATCAAGCAAATATTTCTTGAGCACCCCTAAGGGCCAGGCCTATGCTACGTTCATGGTCATGTGTCATCCACCTAGCCTCCATATAAAGGACATGTTCTCACTGTTGGTAAGCAAGCTAAGACTTGGTGAGTTGAAGTGACTTGCCCAAAGTTAACTAACACAGCTGCTATGCAAATTTATCTCAAACTCCCCGCTGTCCCTCTGTCCTGGTCTAGCTTTCATATTAGAGCTTCAGAGTGAGTGTTCAGGTGTCTACTGATGCCCAAACTCAGTTTCAGGGGGTGATTTGGGAGGAAGGATATCCCCCAAGAAGGACCCAAAGAAAAGAGCAGGATATATGTGTGAAAGAGCAAGGAGAGAGGAACCAAATAAATAATGACTGGATTTCCTTCTAAAATCACCATACCACAGTGCATTCTCCTTAATATCAATCCACACATGACATTTGATCTTGGCTAGAGGGTCTTAGAAAAAGACAGGGAATTGGGAGGTGACAAAGCCACATCGCTGTTCCCTGCTCCTCCCACCCTGCCCAAAGAAAGAAGCCTTCAATCCCTGATTCTCCACTGTGAAAGTTCATTCACCAAATGCACAGGCAGTGTTGGAAGAGTAGCTTCTGACCCCAGCTTCCCTCTTTCACCTCTTTTTGGGGTTCATGATCACCCACCACCATTTCCTGGCCCTACTTCTCTACCATTTCTTGCTGTTTCTATGATTGGCTATGGATGAGCATTTAGTGTTTCCTCTATCATGCCCCAAAATGAACCCACCCTGGTCCCTGAGCTTTGTAAGTCCACTGTGTTCCCAGGGGAGACCATCACCCCTATTAGTGACTCCCTTCAATCTGAGCTTCCTGTAGCATGAGCCTGCTACCTAACCCTTGGCCACTTGTTACTGATCAGCACTCCTTGATTTTCCTCAAGCATAAACCTCAAGGTAACCAAGATTTCTTGGCCCCCTCCCTTTCACCAGTCATTGCCTTAATGTAATCAAAATGGTACGTTTTGTTTGTTTGTTTGTTTGTTTCCTGTCAGGTTCATCCACATGGCCTTTTCTTTTCCAATCACCAAGACCCTTCTTTAGAATTTTGCAAACCCTTGGTTGCTGGCCTATCAAATCCCAGTTTCCCTACCCATTTCCAATGCTGCTACTCATGATGCCAAGTTTGTCATCTACACCTGCAAATTTGATCACGGCATGCAGATTGCACAGCTACTGAAAGTTCACCAACTTTGGCCTAGTGCACTGGAATCCCCCAGGCAGCCACGCCCAACCTGCCCAGGTTCTCCCAGTACCCACCCCCCCCCCAACTAAGATCAGGGATCTGTGCACTGTTTACACCTGGTTTCCAGCTGAACAACAATGAACAGATGAAAAAAGGAAACCCAGAAAATAACTCAGCAATACTCCAAACCTCTCTGGACATCAAGTCCTTTCTGTACAAGAAAGGGGAAAAAACATGTCCCATAGTCACATAGTGGTAAAGAGAGAACAATTTTGTTTCCTAGGCAACCCCGACCAAACAGAGACAAACACTGTGACTTCTGAGGCCACAGCGGTTACATGACTAGATAAGAGGAACTTCAGATGTTTGTTGTTCACGTATAGAAGCAAGTCCTTGTTGTTTTTCCACACAAAATGACTAGGCATGGAGAAAGGCCAAAAAAACATATTGTTCTTGGACTTTTGTGGCCTTTGGGGTTCTGGGCTCAGCTGGTTCTGCTGGACGAAGAACAAGAAAAAGAACAATGAGACCTGTAGCAGTAATCATCCCCTCATTGGGCATGCCACCTCACCTTGTGCCCTCTAATCTACTGCCTCATAGGATCTCAAAGGCAGCTCCTCCAAGCATAGCGACAAGGATGGAAAAAGCACCTCTTTGCAGCCCACCCCCAATGTGGAACATTCTGTTTCCTGCCCTTCGAATGAGGCAGTTATGATTTACCTCCATTTGACAGACAAGAAAACTGAGAGCCAGATCCCATCTTTCCCACAGATCCCATGGGGCAATGGTTCCTCTTTTGAATGTCAAAAATATCCTCAGACTTCCCCCCAACTCCATGATAGTAGAACTTTTAGTGTTTTTTGAGAGAGAGAACATCGTGACAAAAAGTGACTGAATTCAGTTGGACTTTTAAAAGAATTGATTGCATTTGTCACAAAAATATAGACATGGGTTTGAAAACTAAAACAGTTATGCGTATGTTCATTAGCTATATGTGTGTATACACACAATTTCAAAACATGTTGTATACATGATGTTTTAAATTACATGATGTTTTAAATAAATACATACAATTTTAATAGTTTTTTTTTTTTTTTTTTTTTTTTTTTTTTAAGACAAAGCTAGAACAGAAATCCGGGGATAGAATACTTGTGTTAAAAAAAAAAAAAAAAAAGGACCAGGGCTGGGCTCAGTGGCAGGGCACTTGCCTAGCATGTGTGAGGCACTGGGTTCCATGCTCAGCACCACATAAAAATAAACTAAATAAAGTTATGTGTTCATCTACAACTAAAAAATATATTTTTTTAAAAAAACAAAAAAAGGACTTTTAGGCTGGAGACAACCACAGGGGAAGATGCTCCTGAGAGAGAAGTCATGGAGAGAGCAGATGAGGAGACAGGGCCATTGGGGCCAGGAGTGAAAGGAGAAGGACCTCTGGAAAGACCATAGGAAGGAAGATGCATGACCCTCTGGTATTTGGAAGTTATCTTAACATCATCCTACTTAATCTGGAAAATATTGCTTTTAAATCTCATTTCTCCTCCTAGTTGGTTAGAAGTTAATGGACTAATTAGAGCTTTGTAGACAGCTCAGGTCCTCAGGTTTTCTTATACAGAGAAGCTTGTTGGAATACAAACAATACTTAACTACCTCCACTAGATCAGGAAAGGATTAACAGAGAACCCCATCAGTTAGCTATTCCAAGCAGAATGGTTTCCAGAGAGGAGCTGGCTGGAAGGAGCAATGATCACAATAATTAATTATGATAACTATCTGGGCTAGGGCTATCACTCAGTAGTGGAGCACTTGCCTAACATATATGAGGCCCTGGGTACCATCCCCAGTACCACAAAAAATTGTTTCCAATAATGCTAGCTATCGCTTACAAGGCACTTAATTGATGCCAGACATAATTCTAAGCTTTTTACATCTCTTGACTCTTTAACTCCTCTCCACAAACATATGAGAAGTATTCTATTAAAATCCTCATTTTACAGAAAATGAAAATGAGAAAATGAAAGCATTTATGGCACAGAGAGGTTAAGTAGCTTTCCCAAAGTCATACAGCTAGTGAATGGCACAGCCTCTATGTGGGAGGTGGGGGAAGATGAGATGGATGCATGGAGACACAGGATAAAGAATCTGAAACATTGCGTTAATTCTTCCTATGTAACCAGAAGGGTGCCAGTGGTGGTGGGCAAGAAAGGAGACCACTCCAGACAAGTAGAGGGACTAGCATAACAACAACAACAAAAAAGATCCATGTGTCTGGGAGAAGTAGGGGTGAACACAGATTTGGAAAGGGGAGGTTAGGAAGTTGACTTTGAATGGCTCCCAGCCAAATGACTTGAGATAGCATCTAATAGGTCTCAGGGAGCCATGGTAGGCTTCTGAGCAAGGAAGTGATGTGATGTGAAAGATATTTGTAGAAGATGGGTCCTGGCAGCTGGAGAGGCTAAAACAGAGAAAAGCTAGCAGGCAGCCAGCTGCTGCTGTAATCCAGGTGTGAGATGATGAGGGCCAGCCGGGGCAGGAATAAAGGGTCATGGAAAGGAAAGAACAAGGCCCAAAGACAGTGAACAGTGGTATTTCTCCAAGTGTGGTCTGCAATCCACCCGCATCGGGTTGATGGGAAGTTTAAAGTGTAGATGCCAGCTCCTAACTCCATACTACAGAGGTGGGTAGGGCTCAGGAATCCATAACTCTAATATATCCCTGGTGATGTGTAACTTGGAAAGCTGGAGGACCCTCCACAAAGTAAAAACTCAGCATGACCTGATGGCAAAGTGAGTCAGGAGGAGGAGAGAGCAAAATAGCCACAAGTCAAGGATGTCATGAAAGTTTGTGTTTTATATATATATATATATATATATATATATATATATATATATATATGAAATTTGCCTTATTTACTTATTTATTAATTTGTTTTTGGTATTGGGGATTGAACCCAGGGTATTTTACCACTAAGCCATATTGCCAGTCCTTTTCATTTTTTTTTTTTTTTCATTTTGAGCCAGGTCTCACTAAGTTGCTCAGGGTCTTGCTTAAGTTGCTGAGGCTGGCCTCAAACTTGATGTCCTCTTGTGTCAGTCTCCCAAGTCACTGGGATTATAGGTATGCGCCACAATGCCTGGTGAATTTAGCAGTTTCAAAGAATTCATCTCCCTTCTGAAAAAAATGACAGCTTTTTCCTAAATCCCTGTTTCTATCAGTGCTTCCATGGTCTCCCAATCCCGTAGACTCAAAATTTTTCATGGAATCAGAAGTTGAGGCATTAGGGATATTCCAGTCCAGTGGCATTAAATATATTCCTACTGTTTATCCACCTATCTCCAGAACTTTGCCATCATCCCAAACTGAAGTTCTATACTCATAAAACACTAACTCTTCTCTCCCTCTACCAGCCTCTAGTGCTATGAAAGTTAAATCTGGCCAACCATGGTGGTCCATGCCTGTAATTCCAGTGACTAGGGAGACAGAGGCAGGAGGATCACAAGTTAGAGGCCAGCCTCAGCTACTTATCGAGTCCCTAAGCAATTTAGTGAGATCCTGTTTTGAAAAATAAAAATGAAAAGAGCTAGGAATGTGACTCAGTGGTTAAGTGCCCCTGGGTTTAATCCCCAGTACAAACAAAAAAAAAAGGAAGGGAGGGAAGGAGGGAAAGAGGGAAACAGGGAGGGAAGATTTTGAATCTGGAGGATTGGGAGGCCATGGTAGCACTGAAAGAAACAGGGATTTAGAAAAAGGATGTGATTTTTCATAAGGGAGATGAATTCCAATTTTGATATCTGGCTGAGCTAAACATATTTACATATAGAAATATACCAGCTGTAGAAAAAGAAAGGTGAAGTCAAGGGTTAGAGGGTGAGATATGTGTGTGCCTTCATGTCATGAGAACCAAAGTGATGCACAAGGAGATATGCTCCAGAGAAGTAGCTCCAGAGCAGGAGCACAAGGCCAGGAACCAAGAAAAGCTGTGAGGAAAGAGCTAGGGAAAGCTCTAACAGAACACTGAGGTTTGTTGATCTCCTCTCTGTTTTTAATCTTTTGGTGTATTGTTTTCCATGCTTCCTCGTCAGAGTCCTTACCATAATCCCTACCATTTTATAAAATTAAACTAGTCTCTAAATGTCACTTTGGCGCAAGGCTGAGACAGCTGGATATTCTAAAAAGAGGTAGTCAAGAGCACATGCCTGTAATCCCAGCGACTCTGGAGTCTGAGACAGGAGGATTGCAAGATTGAGGCCAGCCTTAGCAACTTAGTGAGACTTTAGTCACTTGGTAAGATCCTATCTCAACTTTTTTAAAATAAAATAAAAAGGACTGGAGACTTAGTTCAGTGGTAAAGTGCCTGGATTGGATCCCTACTACCAAACAAATTAAAAAAGTGAACTCAGCATATATTTTAAAAAGGACTGGTGGTTATTCAAAGTTGTCAAACCATCTTGTGAAACTACAGGGTTTTTAAAATTCTACTTAAAAAATTAGAGTTTTAGCAGGGTGAAATGGCATATATCTGTAACCCAGCAGCTGTGGAGACGGAAGCAAGAGGATCCCAAGTTGGAGACCAGCCTCAGAACTTAGCAAGGCCGTAACTCAAAATTTTAAAAAAGGGCTTGAGATGTAGCTCAGTGGTAGAACACCTCTGGATTCAGTCCCCAGTACTTGGGGGGAAAGGTCCTGGATTGTAGTCCTAGTCTTTGACTAGTAAATTCTATAACCTTAGGCAAGTCATGTCACGTCTAGATATCAATTTTCCAAGTTGCCAAACGAAGTGGTTCCACAGGATTGTTTCTAAGCCTGTGCTAAGGATCCCTCTGGGCTTGTTCACATCACCTCATTGGTGTAGGCCTCAGTTTCCCATCTGGCCCTCAAATTCTATTTGTTCTCCTATCTAGATATTATCAAGTTGCACTGTTAAGAGCAGGAAATTGATGCTCTTAAGAACTAATACATGGGCTGGGGATGGAGCTCAGTGATAGACTGCTTGGCTAGCATACATGAGGTCCTGGGTTTGACTCCCAATTCCAGTTGCTGTAATCCCAGTAACTCTGGAGGCTGAGACAGGAGGATTACAAATTTGAGGCCAGCGACTTTGTAATTAATCAATGTACAGAGACTTTGATTAATAAGCCAATACATGGTTCAGTGTGTACCACACTCCATGTCATTTTGTAGAGGAAGGAATCATCTGTACAGCCTTATTTTTCAGCCTTCTTCATTTCATGAGCTACTTCCAGTTGACTATATTGTGACAACACACTTTCAAGCTCTGGGTCACCAAATTAGAATGGGAGGGAGAATCTCTTGCATAGGCAGAGGGAACAGGCTTGTAATTGAATGTTTTATGATTGCTTAGTGGCAGAGCACTTGCTTAGCATGTTCAAGGCCCTGGGCCAGTCTCTGTACAGAAAGAAAGAAAGACCTGTGATTGGTGCAGTTACATGGAGAGGAGAGCAAAGGAACAAAAAAAGAGATGAGGTGGAGGGGCCAGGCAGGAGAGAACTAGAAGAGGAAGAGTAGGAGCAAAAAGGGTGGCCCCAGCCCATTGGAGCCTCCTTAGCTGGGTTCCCCCACTCTTTTCCTGCTGTTCCACTGAGGAACTTGCTGCCTCTACCTAAGAGAAAATGGGATGAAATCACCACTAAAGACTGGATCTATAGGTCCTGATTTCTCTCAAACATGCCTACCTTGCTGCTCATTGCAATCCAGAACCTAGTTGTTTACAAATATAAAGTTAATCTGATCATGTATGGAGCCATCTTTAGGCACAAGTGAGTTAAGTCACACCTGGGATCAGAACACAGAGTACCCTTAAGGGCTGGACAGGGCTCTAGAGATCATCTGTCCCAGCCTCCTCAATTCCCAGA